CCCGGACTGCATTCGGGGCAAAAAAAGATGATGCGAACGACGCTTCCCCGTACAACGGACTGCAATGCACAAATGCAGCCACTGGGAGTGGGGGAAGGCTTCCTCACCGCTGCAGTTCCCGATTGGCTCTTTGGCACGGAGAACTGGCAGGCGGCTGGCTACCTTTTTCGTAGCGAAGCGAGTCGTCCGATCACTTCCAAGTCCTCGCGAGTAGCAGCCAAACCGATGAGCACAGCAATTGAGGCGAGACGAATTCGCGGCGTCGCTTTACATGGGGTAGCGAAGTCTCGTGGATAAGCCCACCACTCAAAAGTAATTACAGCTAAAAATGTTTCATTCAAGATTCAATGCAACAAAATAAATGAAAAGCCATTGCCGTAGGTTGGAATAATCCATCAGTCTTGCATTGTAATGTTGATACAGAAATAAAATGCATTGCGGATATTTTTGAATCGATAGCAGCGCAAAACTAAACAGCTTTGCCTTGACTCACAAAATTCACTTGAAAACCAATGTTGAAGCTCTGATATTTTTGGCGTTTCCATAACTTGAGTCCCATAAACAACGTTGCTCAAATGAATTGATACATAATTAAGGTATTTTATATTCCTCGGCACTATTTACATACATTTTTTATATTACTCTCATCAACAATTTTATGAACAAATTTCATTTTAAAGTTTCTTTTTTTAATTTTGGCGAATATTAATACAATTTGTATGTGTCGTGCCGAAGTGGTGGAATTACCGATTCTATGGAATCAGCAGCCAGTTTGATCCTTCCGTTCTACCATATGATCCTTTCGTTCTACCATATGATCCTTCCGTTCTACCATATGATCCTTCCGTTCTACCATATGATCCTTCCGTTCTACCATATGATCCTTCCGTTCTACCATATGATCCTTCCGTTCTACCATATGATCCTTCCGTTCTACCATATGGTCCTGTATAAAGTATGCACAACGAAGCCTTAATTCAACAAGGAAATTCGTAACAAGTTTAGTACAAGTGTAAATCTCGTATAAAGTACCGTATAAATATTTAAGAGACGCAATTAATTCAATATATAATCCTCAGCGACGCAGTGGCTGAGTAGACACTCGAACGAACGTATCAGTGGAAGGTGAAAATGTGCTCAAATTACTGAATTATAATTTTCACACATTTAAATGACGAATTTGTAATTACATTAATGCTGAAATCTTTTCGTTTAATCCGCATATCCATTCCACATGCAATGCCACTCATGAGTCGCGTTGCATGTCTACATTCATTCCACAATGACGCATGCATGTTCATGTTGTGCGTGGCATGTCTACATCCATTCCACAATGCCGCATGCATGTTCATGTTGTGCGTCACATGTCTACACCCATTCCACAATGCTGCATGCATGTTCATGTTGTGCGTCACATGTCTACATCCATTCCTCAACTCCGCATGCATGTTCACGTTGTGTGTGGCATGTCTGCATCCATTCCACAATGCCGCATGCATGTTCATGTTGTGTGTGGCATGTCTGCATCCATTCCACAATGCCGCATGCATGTTCATGTTGTGCGTCACATGTCTACATCCATTCCTCAACTCCGCATGCATGTTCATGTTGTGTGTGGCATGTCTGCATCCAATAACCTCGAGCTTCAGCAAATATCAGCAACATTACGAGCACCTCGTAAATCTTGCTGACGGAATATCGGCTGACGACGCTCGCACAGCAGAAATTTCGTATTAAAAAACCGCATAGAGTTCCTGCACGCTTGCGTCACCAGAAGCATCTGCTTGACCTCTTCGTATAAGTTTATCCAGCGAACGACACAGCGCTCTAGGGTCGCTGCGTGGCTCTTTGACTCTCTGGCGCCAAAATAACTCTTTTTAGCGCATTTTCTCATTAATGGAAAAAATGCCCTATTGTGCTCGTCATGTCCGTCCGTCCGTCAGTCCGTGACTTCACGTTTTTGTCGATTCTAAGAAAATGCGCTCTCTGTCACTCACTGCTGCGAGTACTGAGTTATATTTTTTTAGATTGAAGAAGGTCGAAATAATTGCGCTGCGAATCTCGCTAAGTGGAGGCCACCGTATAGCTGCAGCAGGATTGACGCGTCTATTCACCTGGTAGACAAGTCTTTTCTATAATGAGATATTAATTCTCTTCAGGGGCCACCAACAAGCCCGCTTGAGCAGCCGAACCAATCGCTGCGAGACCCGACATTCATCATCGAATCATGGGTCGGAGACTCGTTGGGGTACCTGAACTGTGCGTGCAGGAATGAGGTCATTGAGTGCACAGGTCAGCTCGGTGTTGTAGAGTTGCACGAGGTTGTAATCTATTCAAGTACGCTTTGAAATTTGCGTACGCATTAAAATTAGTCAGTTTTAAATCAATTTACATTACCCTGATTGGTAACTATCGCCTCACTACCATATTTTAAATACAATTATTCACAAAGTGAAAAAAGTTTTTGATTGCATAATGACCCTTTATGACCCAAAGCTTATCGCATTGCCAGCAGTTTTCTCACGATGCAAGTGATAGGGAAAAGCCCAACCCTCACATTCCCAAAGCCAAATACAAAATTTTCGCCGAGTTTTCAATGGCCGTCGAAAAAATGAAGGTACTCTATGGCAATTATTATTCACAATCAATAAAACAAGGATCATTTAATGGAAGTCTTTCCTTCTCACCCTGCTTCATGAAGTGAAAGTGGCGCAGTAGCCAAGCTGCTGCCAAACGGATACCCTCAGAAAAATAAACGGTAAAGTCGTCTAAATCGTAACACTTTCTGTACGTTGCACTGATGTCTTTCTGTCGGGTAAAACTGGGTCTGGATGATCTACTGAAAGGTAAGAAGTACATCGCTATTCGGACAAAGTCTTTCTATTTTTCTGTGTGTAGTAACTGCGCATGAACTTGCGCAGTGCAGGATCATTCTTTATCAGCTGAGACAGATATCATGATCACTGTACATTCAAGCAAAATACCCTCCATGACTGCTATATATCTTTTACTGTTCCTTTCGTTCCTTATATCTATCACTATTCCTATCGTTGAAGCTAGGGCGGATTTTCAGATGATGCATTGCGTTGTGTTTGACTGCATTTATGTAACGGTAGTACGTCACGCTGGTAACGTTATATGGTCCCAACATTTATTCCTCTTACATATGGCTGTACTAATTCTTGCTTGCATTGTCACTATGTTAGTTTAGTTAAAAACGCACAGCACATTATAAGATCCCTAGCTGACGGTCGCATTACACTCGGTGTACCTAAACACCATATAAAAACTAAACGTGGTGCATCGAAGGTTATAGGTGGCGATGGTATTTTACTGATGGTGTAACGGTGGGTGGCCAGATCTGCCTAAAATCAACAATAAAACACCAATAAATCGAGAGGGTGGCGAGTATAGGTGGCTGCAGTCAAGCTCTGAATTAAGAAAGTCGAGGTCTGAATTAGATGCAAACATGAGAAGCGGATACTACCAGAACGGTGTGAATCGGTCGTTGTGTAGGGCATGTAGCGCCTCGGATTGCCCAATCGTTTTTTAGGTCAATGCTTAAAGTTGCGTGTTCGGTTAATGCTAAGAACTTCAGTTACGGTCGAGGCTGGAGAATTTAGTTTCTGTCATCACCTATTGGCTTTGTTATTAGTCAAAAAACATCAAAGATTCATCAAAAATTTTCCTGACGTCTTCAGAAATTAAAAACGTCATAAGAAATTTCCGACATACATATTTGTTGTTAGTTTTATATCGTGTTCATGGTTAGTTAGAAACTTATTCAAAAATTTTATATTAACTTTTTTCTGTTCCGTAATGTTTTCGTGAATATTCTCAGTAAAATGAAAATTTAGAACGAAATTAAATTCTCTTCTTGAAAGACAATGCATTATTGTGATCAAATGGGAAAATTCCAATGATAATATACAAGAAAAGTGCGATCTTGTTAAGAATAAGCACCCCAGGATGACCTTGTTATGAACCTTGTTTTACATTGAATTGTAATTCATCAAAATTTTTTGAATAGACCTAATCTTTTTGTATTGTTCACTCAATTAACCTTATTAAGCATACGCGCCCTAGTAGCGTTTCGGGTGCTTATTCTTAAAAAGATCCGAAAAGTGTTAATTAGAAATGCTATTTTCATCATTCATTAATTAAATATTTATTTAGTGCAAATGTGCACATAGTACGAAGTGTCCTGTAGGTGCGGTCTTATAAGCGAGTATCAGTGTGCATCTGCAGCTAGAGAGGGAAGGAATGTAGTATATCCTTCCTCCTGCAGTTATGTTTAAGCTATTACCATTGCTTGGTTTTTGATGGGTAACTTAACGAGTGATCAATATTAATGAAAATCTCATCGAGACTCTTAATTTAAAAACTAAACAATTTATACCTTGTGTATAACCAGAGAGTTTAAGAGAATTTTACACGTTAAATTGAATGCATGTATTTTGTTGTATCGTTTGCTCGATGACAATTCGCCACGACACAAGCCAACCGGCTATAACTAATTTGGAGCTGACGTCGCTATACATATAAATTTGAGTGTCTAAACGTTTTTAATTGAAAGCATCGTTGATATGTATAATATTAATTTCGTTTGAGAAAATTCCTGAAGTTTGTGCGAGCGAAAACAATTATAAAATCGGTTAATGTTCTTATGTAAATAATTGTGTGAAATGTATTACAATATGTGAAATTGATTCCATATGCACGATTTGAAAAATCTGTTCCTCAGTCCGTGCCGTGACCGCAGCGCCTATTGCATTAAACTAGTAAAACTAATGTTCATCGGCTGCAAACCTAATGAGGAAATTAATTGGTTTATTCTTTATAATTTTTATTATAACATCTACACATAGAAATGTTCGATAAAAAATATCAAGGACCATCGTAACTTCCGAAGAGAATGCCTAGTAAGTTATTTAAAGATTTCCGCTGATCACATCATCAATATGTTATAGAAGAATTTTAATGCATTTCATCTTTGTCTGTGTTTTCCATTGTGCAAGTGTCAGTTTCATTAAATTGTCCACAGGATTTTTTAAAAATTAAATTAGTTAAAAACCGAATAATTTGAAAGTATGTCGAAAATGTGGAAAGGCGTTGAAACGCCTCTAGTGAAAGGCAACCTCGTGAGTTTTCTCTTCAAAGACGCGCATAAATGGAACCATTTACATGCATTGGTAGGTACTTTTTCGTGTGCTTGCTTAAGGTTTAGTTATTTATCTATTTGCCAAGTAAAATTAAGATGAGGATATTAAGTTCGATGGGATGCTTATATTCAGTGATTGATATTTACTAAAAAACTCAGAAAATATTCTGAGCTGCACCATAAATGCCTGTCAACTTCCATGCCAGTTACTTTTTAATTTTCGAAAAAATTTTCAATGTCAAATTTTTTTGACAGTTTTTTTGCAGTCACATTTTCATTCTCACTCTGAAGTTTCGATTAGCCACGACCAGGAAAAACTATATTTTTCAATAAGCCTTAAAAACATAACAAAATTTTTATGCGTGCCCGACTCTGAAATGGATGCCGCCTAGGACTCGGGTAGCTCGTAAATAAGCTTCTCTGTGTCCGCTTCGGCTCAGGGTTTGAAGAGCAGCCTCTGGGCAGCTGGCTAGTTCGGTATGACTCGGCTCGGTCAACTCTTTCCATACTCAGGCGACTTCTAAAGTCGGAAAATAGATTCTGACCAAAAACTGATTATACGATCAGTCCGCCATGCAGACCCAGAATAACTCTAAGCCGAGTGTAGAGACTATTCTGCCGAAGCCTGGGCGGTCCCCGAATTTTGGTAGGGTTCACAATTTGCCATTAAAAATTTTTGGAGTCATTCATACAAGTAAGTAAATCAATTGCACAAAATTATTATTATTTATGCAAAAATTAAATAAAACACGAAAATTGTTCGACTTATTTCCTAATTTTAATTGATCGCACAAAAAATCCCGTCTCGTGGCAGGAGTGTGGGTACACCCGCCAATCCCTAACGTACTGGGAGCTGCAGCAGGCAGTGGGAAGATGGGGAGCTTGGCTGACCTCCTTCATGGGGGAGTCCAATCCTTCCGCCGCCAATCCTTCCGCCGCCAATCCTTCCACCGCCAATCCTCCCTGTCGCCAATCCTTCGTGGTGGGGAAGCTCGCCCCCAGCTGCGTGGACGTGGCGGTGGTGCAGCTGGGGACCATGGCCGCGGGGGTCGTGTACACGTCACTCAACATTTCCTTTGGTCCCAGTGAGAGACTTTTTTGTTAGCGAAAGGATTAAAAAATTGCGAGCATGACTAGGTGATTTCAGTATATTTTTAATACGCGACACTCAATCATTTATTTGATCCCAGTGAGACTTTTTGACTAGCGGAATGTTCAAAATTACGACCATGACTGCATAATGTTACAGTTTCTTTCTAGTATGCGGCACTCAAAAATTTTCTTCGGTCCCAGTGAGATTTACGCTTACGTTTACGATTTATCTCACTGGGATAAAAGAAATTAGTTTTTATCCATCACTATATTACTGCCGTTTGATTTTATTTTTCCTTTGCCAACCACCCGAAAATGCCTACCTAATTGTTCTTCCTGACATCGATCAAAATTTGTAGACCTGTAAGAAATAATAAATTAATTCTCTACATTTAATTCATTTTTTAATTAATTTAATTATTTATTTAATCAAACTTTCCCCCACAAAGGGGAGCTGAGTGCGCAGATCGAGGAGACGGGCGCCGCCCTTCTGATCACAACACCGAAGTTCGCCCTCCGCCTTCAGGAGGCCCTGGACAAACTGGGACGCAAGATCCCCGTCGTGTTGATCGGCAGCGGGGAACTTGGGGACGTAGGGAGCGACCTCAACGTTGTGGGAATATACAAAGATATTATCAACGACCAGACGATTAAGCCTATGGAACCAGTTGAGGTGCGTAGAATGCTGTTGGGGGTCACTGGACTAAAATTACACGTACAATCATATCATAAATATCGACAGAACTAATGCAACCTCGTACTCCTGCGGTGGATCGCGGCACAATGAAAATACAAAAATATTCACACGTGAGGTCACATCGAGATTATTTAAAGCTAGAATGATAAATTTTCGTCTCTTTTTTGCTAATGAGACGAAACTTTGCTTTCGTCTCTTTCTTGCTAAAAGTTTTTGCTAATGAGTGAAATGATTTTATGTTTTTGTATGTTAATAGTTTTTGGGTTTAATGTAGGACATGCAGTTGCAAGATTTTTAGATAAAAATAATAAAACTTGAATGAGATTTATGCGACAGCTTTGAGATAACGAAATGTCATGGTTTTAGTGAAAGATTTCGATTCGCAATCAAAATTTCATTGATTTGAACCATGTGAAATGAGCGTATTAGAAAATATGAAGTAAGTAAAAATTGTTATTTTTGCGTTTAAAATTATATAATGCGCATAAGAAAATCCTAATTTAATACGAAAAAATTTTAAAATTCTATGTAATAGATTTGTTACTTCAGATTTTGCAATAACTTGGTTGATGCCGTGCAATGAGATTGCCGTGACGTAGCAATGATTGCTCGTAATGATAATAATTTATTCCGAAGTGCTCGCAATCTTGGCTTTAGTCGTATTTTTTCGGCTAATCCAGCCGAAAAAATTTGATAATGCCGTCGATTTTTACATTAATTGTAAAACTTTTATTAAAATTTCATTATTATTATTAAAGTTTATTTTTTATTACTAAAGTTTACTTATTTATTTTATTTCTTAAACTTGATAGTCACTTTCACACCTTTGTGTTGGTCGTGCAGCTGTTAGGAGATGAGGTGGCGCTGCTGGTGTACACGAGCGGCACCACCGGGATGCCCAAGAGTGTGCAGCAATCCCACAACTCCATCATCGCGGGGGTGACCGCGAGTATACATCCCCACTTCTGGGTGCATCCTCCTACCATTAATGGTACGTAATTTTGATAAATAATTGATCTATCAAATGTACAAGCTTAGTTCGGGAATTATTTAAAAAAATATAACTCAGTACTCACTGCAGTGAGTGACAGAGAGCGCATTTTCTCGTCGACGAAAACTTGAGGTCACGGACAGACGGACAGACAGACAGACAGACAGACGGACGGACGGACATGGCGAGCACAATAGTGCATTTTTTCCATAAATGAGAAAATGCGCTAAAAAAACATTGAACTTTATATACGTAGCTAACTGCATGTGTGTGTGTAACTGTGTCTAAACTGTTGTCAACTGAATATAAATACTTTTCAAATGACAAAAAATTTCACTAAGCTTCTGGACCCAGTCTGCCAGCCAGTAAAGGGTGTTAATTTCAATGAATTGTATCTTATAAGTTGTAAAAATGATTTAATTAGGGAATTGAAAAAAAAGTATTTCAATCATCTTTCAACGTTTCAGAAGCCTGTCAACGATCCATTTAGGACTAATTCTATAATGCCAAGTAATAAATTTTTAGTTCAACATTCTTGCAGAGACAAAAGAATTTTGCGATGATGTCGTCTGCTCACTCGACTTAAACATGCATGCAGCGACTTCTTGCATCAAAGAAAACAAGGACCCAAACGATGCCTCAAAATATTTCTCTTGAATGGCAGAAACTTAGTGTTTGAACGAACCATGTTTCGAAATCGCTCACACTGCAAGTGCGGAGTACTTTAGTTTATTTTACATGGAGATGAAAAACTTTCACCACACAAAGAAATTAATTACCGAAACTAGGAATTTGAGGACTTCACTTCATCACAGTAACCAAGTATCCAGACTATTTATACGGAATAACCTAACTTTCACTGCACAGTTAATCCGTTCACGGGAAGACTTCATTTTCATAGGATAGAAGTGTCGGTACTGAAGAAATAGGTATGGCAAAGCAAAGCGATTCAAAACTTCGACAGCATAGCTGAATGATTCAGTGGGTGCCTTATCACATAATTAATAAAAATTTACAAATAAACGTACGATGTCTTTTACCTTGTGTCGCAGAAAGCAACCAGACGCGCTCTCTCCTCATCAGGGACATCGGGTTAGCATTCGGGTTGATCTGTGCCTTCATGCCCGGGGTCGCCACAGGGATGTGTCATGTCGTCAAAACTTTGGACGATAACACTTTCCTGCAAGACGTTGAAGAGTTTAAGGTAAGATCAAAAGAAATGTAGGTCATATTAACCCAATTGTCAGAATCCAAAATCAAAATGTCCAAATAGACAATCCAGAGTTTGTGAAATACGACATGCGAGCCGCGAGTTACTCACAAGTCAGGTGTTACTGACTATATATTTACTTTCTGACGTGGAAGTTTGCGCTAACTTCAACGCCATTGGCCGTGAATATATTAATAATGGATATTTTAGATTATTAATATATTATTTATAAATGAATATTAATAATACATATATTACTAATATATTCGATTTATTTATATATTAATATTCAATATTTTCAGATAAACACAATCGCGATCGTGCCCCTGAATTTCCCGACTTTGCTGCGCCTGAGCAGAGAGCGCCAGGATTTGCTCAAGTATTTCCGACACGTGATTGTAAGTGGCGGTCCAATCCCGCAGGCCCACGTCACCGCTGTGGCCAGCACCATGCCTGGGGTCTTCGTCCAGAAATGTTCGTTGGGACGGGAAATTTATTTAAAAAAATTTTTGCGGTCCAGGGGGTTTAGTTCCGGTGGTTTAGTTCAGTAATTTTTTAGAGTTTAATTATAATATTTGTTGTGCATAATGCAGGCAAATTTTTATTTAGTTCCTGCTATTCTGCTTCTGTTAATATAAAGTGGTCATTAGTATATATACCATTTCTAAAAGGAATTTGAACAGTAATATTTTGTCAAAATAGCCAAAAAATTACATGCTTTGAACAGGAAACGCGTTCATTGTACAAATTTTTGATATATGCATCTAATTCTCCAATGGAAGAGGTAAGTTCACTTATTAAATGAATTATATTTGAAACTCAACATTACTCAGATAATTTAAACTCATGCCGTTGCCGTATGCCACATTCATCTCCTCTTAACGTGGCATATGGCAGTCCCGGATGGCCTCCCGACATACGGCGCAGTCCTCTCCTGCAGTCCCCAATGGCCTCCTACCCAGTAAAAATTTACAGACGCGGCAACTTCTGTTTTGGATTACCAGAAGCTGGGGCGACTCTAAATTTTCTTAGGGTAGTCCCGGATGCCCGACGATACAAGACCGAACACTACGACACCAGTCTCAGCTACTAATTCATTTTGACTTAACATTTAAATGAAATTTTAATATATAAATAATTAAAAATTATTATTCACCGGCCAGGTTACGGAGCGTCGGAGATGTTCGTGATAGCACAAGACCCTGTGGGCGGCGGCAAGCCAGGGTTCACAGGCAGCGTCTGCCCCAACGTTGAGCTCAAACTCAAGGATCTCAACTCAACGGAGTTACTGCCCGCCAACCAAATGGGAATCCTATACGTCAAAAGCCCCTGCGTGAGTTTTGTCTCATTTGTGTTTTAGCTCAGTTTTGGGTGTGTGCATGAATATAGTTGTACGAATCACCATACTCGTAAGATTGTCGTAAGTATCAACATACTCGTACGATTGTCGTAAGTATCACCATACTCTTAAGATTGTCGTAAGTATCACCATACTCGTACGATTGTCGTAAGTATCACCATACTCGTAACATTGTCGTAAGTATCAACATACTCGTAACATTGTCGTAAGTATCAACATACTCTTTGGGTAAGTATGAACACACTCGTAATGCTCAGACTTGACGATTCATCCAATAAGCAAATATGTTGTTAGCCTTTAATGAGCACCTTACTATATATGGTCACTTGAAGTCGCCTTCCAAATAATTCCAATACGTCCCCCGGTTTGTGTTTGAGGAATAAGTTGTTAAATAATAAGTGGTTAATATAATAATATAATAATAATAATAATAATAATAATAAGTGAAATAAGTTGTTAGCCTTTAGTGGGCAGCTAACTATATATGGTCACTTAAAATCGCCTTCCAATCAAATCATCACGTTATCATGCCTCAGTCAATATCCAATCATCTTCCCAGCCATTCCATAGCATCACTCTCTGCCTTGCCCAGGAATTTAAATACGAGCATTTAATTGAAAGTTTCGACTCGGACGATGAAATTTATGCGCTTTCCGCATTCTTAAAACGTTAGAAGAAGCAATATCTGATTATTAAATTAAATTGTTTACTTCAAGGCAATATCCAAATTCAAATTAAGTTCAAAATAAAATAAAATTGAAGCCAGATAGTTTCTCTTTGCATCTGAAGGATTTAAATCAAATAAGATAAATTTCTTTTTTGCGTATTGACCGTTTTTTATAGACCTATGGTGTGCAATTTTCTCCAATTTATATGCAAAATTTTAAATAATCCATATGAATAAATTTATCTCATAATTGTCATAATTTCTTGCGGTGGCTCTAGAAATTCAAATTGCTCGGGGAAGGCTTGCATCACGCCAACTAGAAATTTATTCAACATGGTTGTTATGAGCCCATCAGTATCTGTTGAACCTCATAAACATGATGTAGGAAATTAATTATTGTTTCTGAATCTTATCACACACAACCTTTTTGCGTAGGTACTCCAAGCGAGCAACGTAAGAATGTTTAAATACCATAGATTCATGCGTACTCGATTCGAAAACAATTATTGAATAATAAATGAGAAATATATTGAAATTTCAATTATATAAACGTACGAAATTATAAGGACAAAAAAATCATGATCTGCAATGAAAAAAAGAGACGTTGTCATTTCGGATACCATGCATCACCGACGACAAATTCGCAAACTCTTTTACCATTTACGCGAAACATGGGCCAATGTAATGTTTTTTTGCATCTAATAAGTATATAGTAGGTATTGATTAGGCCGTTAGAACAGGCACAGATTCGGAACCTCGCAGAATATTCTCAGTTTTTTGCGGGTCTCGAACATGCACCTCACTGCTCCAATTTTACGTTGCTTAACCACTCGGCCACCTTGAGGATTTGACCAGACCTCTCGCAGAAAGCTTGGATCAAACACACAACTCGCTGCTCTAATCCTTTTACTCTGAACTGTAAACATCGACTTAAATAATTAATGCATATAGCAAAGCAATAATATTAAGATAGATTATTCGTCACAGAAAATGCAGGGTTACCGCAATAACCTTACGGCGACTAATGACGTCATCGACGAGGAAGGCTGGTACAACTCAGGCGACGTGGCCCTCGTGGACGAGGACGGCTACGTCCAGATCGTCGACCGCTTCAAGGAGATCATCAAAATGGCGGACGGCTGCAATGTGAGTGGTTTTAGAATAGAATAGAAGTGTCGGCACTGAAGAAATAGGCCCATCGCCTGTTGCCGATTTTTTGTGATTTTCGTGACTTGATTCACAAGAGATCCAGCCTTTGGAACCCGATCTTTCCATAACTGACGATTGGTTGAGATAGCTGCTGGATTTATTGCCTGGTCCGTAAGTTCCTAAGCATTTTAAGACTGAACATGTGCTCTTGCATAGCTTTGTCTATTCTGTTCTTGAAGGCATTCATACTCGGAGGCTGTTCCACATGTCGGTGACTTGAAGCGAGAAGAAATGTTGTCGCATGGATGTTTTACAACGCAGTTTTTTAGCTTATAGCCGTAGCCCTTGGTGTTGGTTTATATAGGTATAGCCGTGGCCCTTGGTGAGTGTTTCAAATTCTAGTAATCCTTCTGGGACATTGTATAAGCCACGAGTATACTTGTATATGCTTCAATGAGGTCCCCACTCAGACGTCGATAACTGAGGCTCGGAAGCTTCATAATCCTCAATCTTTCTTCATAGGACTTGCCCTTCAAGCCTGGAACACTCTCTATTATATTTTTGTCCTTTTCAAGTTTCGGTGACCACATGACGTTTCCAAACTCTAGGCTCGGGCGCACGACGGCAACAAACATCTGCTTCATCGCTTCTGCATCTTGGAGCTCGAAAGAGCGTCTGATAAGTCCAAGTCGTTTATTGGCTTTATTAACTTGACCTTCAATATGCTTATGCTTTCAACTCATTGTCGATATTAACTCCTAAATCTTTTTCATTGTCGACTTCGACATCATCACTCTGTCGTTGCAACCGTGTCTTCTCATACTGTAATCTTGCTGTTCATTATTCTTGCCAAGGTGGATTACTTTACATTTGTCAGAGTTAAAACGCAGCTGAAACTTGTCAGCCCAATCAACCAACCTATCAAGATCACCTTGTAACTGTACTTTTTGCGACGTATTCTTCGCTGTATTATAAATTTTTGTGTCGTCAGCATGCATCGAGAACACGCTAGTCACAGCTTCTGTCAGATCGTTTATAAACTCGACGAATAAAACAGGCCCGAGAACGCTGCACGCCGCTGCGCACTGAAGCCCAGTCTGATACGGACCCATTAATACTGACACGTTGTCGTCTCCCTACTAGAAAATCTCTGATCCATTTGAGTACATTACTCTCAATTCTCAAAGACTTCAATTTACGTAACAGCCGCTCATGTGGGACACTATCAAATTCCTTGGCAAAATCGCGGTACACTGTATCTACTGGCTCCCTTTCGTCCAGCAGGCGGGTCCATTCGTTCAGAGTAGAGAAGAGGTTAGTGGTGCAGGATCTCCCGGCAATAAAGCTATGTTGACAGTCTGAAAGGAGATTATTAGCAGTCAAATGATCTATCAATCGACCCCTCACAATAGATTCCATTACCTTGCAAACGACGCTTGTCAAACTGACGGGACGATAGTTGCCCGGGCATCTTTTGTCACCTTTTTTGAACAATGGTGTCACTTGAGCTTCTTTCCAGTCATCCGGCAATATCCCTTCGTTTAAAGTTTTTCGAAAAAATGACGTCAAAGGGCCGGCTAGGACAGTTGCTAACTCTTTGAGTAATCTGGGGTGGAAGCCGTCCGGTCCACATGACTTGTTTGGATTTACAGCGATAAGGCGCTTGAGAACTTCTTCTTCTTGTATTTCAAAACTTGATAATTTAGAGCCGACTGGGCGCTCCTCTATAGCTGGAATACTGTTCAAGTCCTCTTCAGTGAATACGCTACTGGAAAACTGATTAAGAACGTTAGCCTTGCTTTCATCAGAGGATATCTTTCGTTGATCTACTTTCAAATCAGAAATACCGTACTTTATCTTGTACTTCGAGTTGGCGTACAAAAAGAAGGCTTTCGGGTTCTTTTTTGCATTTTTAGCAATATTTTTCGAGGGTTTTTACTGCGGTGCGACAGCTTTCTTTAGCTTGATTTCGAGCTCTTGCGTATAGGTTATAGGTATATAGGTTATATCATGTGTTTTTGATGGCAATGTGCATCAAGTTTGCAAATAACTGCACCGTTTGGTGTTGGACAAAATATCATGTGAAACGCTTATCAAAAAATGGTTAATCAAATGTACTTTATGGGGACTTTATAAAGGAGTTGTTTTCATTTCCGTTTCCAGAGTAGATTAAAACGATGGTTAAGCGCACCGATACCTACGCATTTGTTGTTCTTATTGCTGTAAATTTAAATGTTCATCAAGTAGATTTAGTCCAAGTAATTGCATAATTTATTTTACTGTATAATGAAGTTGTCGTTGAAGTTGTTATAACTTTTTCGTTCTATAAATTTAATCTGGATATCTCGAGTTATTATTATTATATTAATTTAATCTGGATATCTCGAGTTATTATTATTATATTAATTTAATCTGGATATTACGACTGTGAAGTGTATGGAATTAGATGAAGAATTAATTATCAAACGTGCCACTTTTATTTTAGAGAAAACCGAGTTCGAGTGAATCTGCATTTTGGACTTACAGAAATTACAGTTTTTATAAATCCAAAAATAACTTTTTGTTTAAAACTAAAACTGAAATTTCAAATTTATTATGCGAGTTTTTTTTTATCTGCAGGCTGCCCCAGCGGAGTTGGAGAACACGATCCTGGAGATGGAGGGGGTGAAGGAGGTTAGCGTCATTGGGACACCCGATGCCAGCACCGGGTTTGACTCCATTTACGTTTTCATAGTAAATAAAACGGACGTCTCTCCCCCCATTAAGGAAGAAGACGTTGTAAATTACGTCGTGCGGAACCTCAACGAACTAAAGCGGCCTAGAAAAGTCGTTTTCCTGGACGCTTTACCTCGGAACGACAACGAGAAGGTCGACCGTAAACTGCTGCGACTAAAAGCGAAGGAGATGGAGAAAGAAAAATAATTTTGTCTTGTTCAAGGGTTTCTGTGTAATTATTACTATATTACCGTAATAATTGTTGAAAAGTCGATCAGCCAATGACGGAGGAACGGAGGAATTAACCGCAATTTCGAATTGACCGATGTGAAAATATTTTTGCAATTATATGTATAAGGAAATGATGAACGACGTAGCGCGATTTTTTGAGTTCACTTGGCTTCATGTCAGGAACCACTCGTAGGCGATGTTGATTTCAAAATTTCATGATTGAGTTTAGGTTTTCAGTTCAGTTTTTATTATCAGTTACTTGTTAGAGAAATTTTATTGCGTTCATATTATGCTTATTGAAAGAGAGAAATTAGTGAACTTTTAATTTATGATGTTCGATTTATTGAGGCTCGTAAAATAATTTTCATTGATGCAATTGGCATATATTTTAAAAAATTGTCTTGATATTTTGCACATGAGATACGATCACAAATAATATATTCTGATTATAAAGTACCAATATGGAATTTCAACGTGTCCGATGGCTCTCAAGTTGAAATGTTCATACATGAGACATTTCTTACGACTTCGTGGAGCCATCACTCACTATTGTCCATATCGTGACAGACTATCTCACCCACAGCACGAGCAGAGAGCGGACGTAGCACTGATACGCCATTTCGTCAAACCGAACTTGGTCTGAATGACCCACATACAACAGCAATAACTGCATCACTTTTTGGACAAAGTGTCACTCATTTCTATGATGGATCCAACAGCAATATATATTGTCTCGCCTGTATTGTTTGCTGATGAGAATGCGGGGTCACTGCGACATTCAGTGCTCGCTCTCTTTGGAATAAAAATTAAACATGCCTATAATAGTTTTTCGCATAGTTTAGTGTATACTGCATTAGTATTTTTCGTCGTTCTCTACACCAGACAAGCAATTTTATTCCTGTGGGTCTAAGCTTGTGCTGATCCTGAATAGCAATTGTCAAATTTGATGGTGAATTAGATTTTTCAATCCAATTCACCATCGCCAAACTATGACAACTAAGTCGGGCTCCATCTAAATGAACCATCATTTGCTCATAGTTAGGTAATAACGATTTTTGATAGATAATGGCATTTCGTAATGAATTATTATAGAGGAAATACATATTGTAATTTATGAATGATTATTTGTAATGAATGATTTCCTCACTAATAAATACAATTATGAAATATATGGAACCGTCAGTTTGAGTTTTATTTAAAGATGTTGGGTTCAATTTGAATGTTCACTCATGCAATTATTTGAAATAAATTTTTGTGTTTAAATTTGATTACGACCAGTTCAGTGTACCTGGTATTACCTATGCATTAGTATATAATAGATATAACGCAGATATAATTATACCACTCTTATATATTAATCTAATCATTAATTAACTATATAACATCAATCGCAAATTATTACTGATTAGATAAATAAAACGTATTGATTTTACATGAATCAATTTAGATAGTGAAAATTAGTCCATCTCCAACGCAATTTGAAAGAAATCCCAACATTGGACTCTAGAAACACCTCGTGGTATTTAATGCTACGTTCATCCGTTCATCGGATTCTTGTCCATGTGACACATATGCTGATTAATCAGCAGGTCTGCTTCTAAACAAACTTATATGAATTATTAAATTCGTACGCCATCAACGCAGTTGAAGGTTGGTTATGACTTTAGATTTATCCTATCTTGATCATTCATTGTGCGTCACTCTAGAGAAAATTGTTCATACAATTTCCATTGCAAAAATTTCACATCAGGTTACGAGAATGCTATTAGAATCCATATCTTCGAATATCAAAATAATGAGAGTATCATAAATCTTGAATTAAGATTATAACGCAAAATAATAAGGATTATAGCGTTCACAGAGCAATGTAAGAAAATAAATCATCAAATCTTCACCTCCAGAGAAACATTTTAAATAGATAATGAAAATTATAGATCCACATATACTAGGACTGATTCATTCGCTAACACCGAGTTACTTCAATTAGATTCATTAACTTTAAATATAACACATTTATTATCGTTGAGCTTTCATTACATAGCAGAGAAAATTGCTTTTACAAAATACTGCATGTTTCTCAAAATTATAAAATTATAATGATATGAACGCATCATAGAAACCAATATTAGCATCGGTATGTTCCATTTATTTTATTACATCGTTAATGTAAATGCTAGCAAAATAGCAGACATTTTAACATGAATAATTAGCTTCTGCTAATCTAATCGAAATGCTTATTGATTTAAAACCAAAATAGCGAGGTGATTATCACTGTTAAATTGAAATTCAATTTAAATTTCGAAGTGCAAAACATGAATCATCGTTTATCTTGTAAACTGTGCAAAATTTGCTATAAAATCATTTACGGTTAAAACAGTAAAAACAAAACCGTGTGAAAAGCATTCTGCGTTCATATGACGTCAAAAATGTTAATTTCAAACGTGTGAAATATTACATTTGAGTGATAAACACAGTAGTTGGATCAAGCCATTTGTCATTCGCAGCGCCTAATTCAAGTAAATATTCAAACAACGTTGGCGTAAGTGGCAAAATGTAAATACATAAATGGGCAATTAATTACTTTAACTCTAACGTTATCAAGTTTTAGCTTTGGTTTGATACAATGGCTGAATTTAGTACGGGCTCATATAATCATTAAAATGACCCTGCTTGAACCTTTACAAGACGTCACTACATTTCGGATCCATAATACGTTATAGTTGATCATTATAGCTAAGGCATTTATCAATACACGCATTGTCAATGCATATATTTTTCGATTAACGCACTTTTTCGTATATGCAGCGTTTGTTAATTGATGTACATTCGTCAATGTACACATTTGTCAATTAATGCAGATACCGGTCGGTACGCGTAACTCTCATTCATTTCTGAGTCAATATGTCCTTGAACGAATCGTTCAAAGACGCCATTGCTATTTTTACAGCCTTTACGTCTAGGTTCACGTACTACGCTATGTACTTTTAAAACACTTTTCTCAAGGATATAGTCGTACATGCGTTATATAATTAGATGTCTGTCTACGACATCTTTAATACTCAAAGCGAAGTTCAATTAAAGATTCTACCTCCCGATTCGCTAATCTTTATGCTACAATGGAACATTCTTTTAATCAGCATTATTAAATTTACGCTACTTGTTCGGATTTTATCAGAGTCTTGAAACTCGTTAAAGTTCACAGCACATTGTAAAACTTATATATTTGTTTAAGTTACCTCACAAAAGTTATTTCATAACATGGCATGGTAAAAATATTACAGAATGTCGCGAATACTATGCTACATCCACCATAATCAATTCGATAAACTGTTATTGCGGTCAACTGACAAAATTTTAGAACTATGCTCTACTTACGAATCCATGGCTTGCATAGAATTTGCAAGCCATCCAAACCATATAAATCAACTACAGATGCATTTTTTGTGGCTCGAGGATTTATCAGTCGCTCTTTTAGATTCCGCTGACTTATATACTGAATGAAATGAATATGTATATAAAACAGCGTAAAGATGATATCGCATTAACAAAAATTAACAATTCACTTGTGACATATCAACAAAATGAACATTTGCAACGTTCATTAAAAGCTTTTGTGATGAAGAATAACGAACGCAATTAAATTAACCCTTAGTTCAAAAGCTAACGTCACTAACGTTAATTTAAGTTACTTCTACTTTATGCGATCTCGTAGCCCAATTCAGAAACTTGCCTAGACGTTAATTCATTAAAAATAAGCCCGTTCGTTAATTATAACTAACGTTTTTAAGCTATGCTAACTTCAAAAACTTAAACGTCAAAGCTTGTCTCTAAAAAATCACATCGTTAGCATTTACAATATGCTAGAAAAATTGGTACACGTATATCTCGTTGTTACCGTATCTATCAATCAATTTCATTGATGACTGTTAGCATTATATTTTGAAAGAGCAAACATATAAACCCAAATGGGACGCAACAGTATTTCAATATTACAGGATTAGTATGTAATCTCTTGTAATTACGGCTTCATTCATTAGTGGGAAGTTCATTATTGAGAACGGTGTTAAAGTTAGGAATGACTGTCGTCACTTAGCAAAATTACTAGTTGAATGGCCATTTGCTGCATTAAATATGCGGGAATAGTTTTAAACCTCCCGAGACTCATTTAATATTTGACATATGTGGTAATAAAGGATGTATTATATGCGAGTTTTGTTCATATTAAGATGAAGACCAGACGTTAGCTGGCCTGGCGTCTCGCACCGTGCCAGTGTCCACGTTTCTGTCGAACTGTACGGTCTTATCTACTTCCGTGATGTAAAGTAAGTTTTCCGCCATGAATATAGCTAACTTTGATTTCGCTGTAATATTGCTTCTATTGTTCGTTATATTTCGTTGTGTGTGTTAATCATCAGTGTTTGATATCGGTTACTCTAATTTCAGGTAACTCGACATTTGTTTGAATAAAGCTTGGATTACCAAGTCTTTTTATTCTACAACAACGTACGCGTCACAAGCCAAATTTCCTGTGGATTTAGAACAGTATTAATAATAAACCTATTATGAATTCAAAATTAGATTACTCAATATCTAGTCTGGCGACACTAGTAGGTGCATGACGGTTGCTGTTAATTATGCCGTCTCTTTTTAAACGTTTTCACATGCACATCTTGCACAGCAGATTGCGAGTAGCACTCGTAGACGCCCTCAGCTAGTGACGGCCCGTTTCGTTGTCGCTCTCTTGGTTGCTCTCGTGGTCGCTCTCGTTTTCGCCAGTCTCTTCATCAAATCTTTCAGCTTACGAGGAAAATAGCGCCGATCACTTGCTGCGTTGCCGCCGTATAGTATCACCTTTATTTGTTCTCTGTTTGGTCGTACCGGATTCAAAAGAACGCAAAAAACAATGCGTAGACGCTTCAAATTTCTCTGCATCATCCGTAGGCTCAAATAAGAAAGTCTTGACGTTGCAGGTTAAAACTAAGACGCACCAGTCAAAACTTGAATATTCTCTCAGATTTCGGCTGCTGAAATAGTGTGATTTGATTACTATGTGAAGGTCTTCTTAGATTCCGTTGGTTAGTCGTTTAAGTGAGTATAAACGTCACAGAAACTATTCGTTGAAAGGCTTGGCAGCACGAAAATCAGTATGCGACAGTGTTGCTATAATCAGAAACACTTCAAAAGTCTTTCACTCTACCACCGTCTTCAAAGTCTTACAATTATAGTCAAGCAGTCAAGTTTCACTTTTAAGAACACAAGGCTGTTATATCACATAGTTCGGGTGCCACTTTTCAGAGCTCATTTATTAAGCTCTACTTGAGGATCGGGTTACGTGACTAAGGTCGTGAAGGATAAGTGAGACACAGCTGTCCAGATAACATATATTGATATACGGGATGGTAATTTACAAGAGTTATTACAAATGTATAAGATATAGCGTCGACCGTGTGGTCGAAGAATTCAACCGACGCGTTACATCGCGGAGCGCTTATCAACTATACAACGAGGGGCTCTTCTAAGGTTATCAGCCCTTATATAGTCTTCGGCTTCCGCCCACAACTAAGGTCTTGATCACGTGATCAATCACGAGATGTCTTCCCGATGCCGACTCATGTCTGGTACTATTCCATCAATTTCTATCAGGTCAAGTGAATATTACGTCCCAATTACATATGATCTAACTATATTATATAAATATAATGATTATAATGAGATGCGAGACTGACGCCGGACACAGTGACGACGCATTCTCCTTAGAAAACGCAATACAAGCGAGACAATATTGCTGTTTGGGTCCATCATAGAAATGAGTGATACTTTGTCCAAAAAGTGATGCAGTTATTGCTCTTGTCATCTTTGCCCAGTTAAGTTTGGCAAAATGGCGTATATGAACTGCATCCGCTCTCTGCTCGTGCTGTAGGTGAGAAAGTTTGTCAAGATATGGACAACACTGAGGGATGGCTCCTGAGTGATGGCTCCTGAGTGATGGCTCCTGAGTGAAGGCTCCTGAGTGATGTTGTGATTTCTCCAGGTAGTCCTAAGGAATGTCTCATGCATCATGGCGTACTGCGGCAAGTCAGATTCTCCGATTGAACATTTCAACTTGAGAGCAATCGGACACGTTGAAGTTCCATATTGGTACTTTATAATCTTTATAATCAAAATATATTATTTGCGATCGTAACTCATCTGCAAAATATCAAGACAAATTTTTAAAATAAGTGCCAATTGCATCAATGAACTTTACGAGCCTCAATAAATCGAACATCATAAATGAAAAGTTCACTAATTTATCTCTTTCAATAAGCATAATATGAACGCAATACAATTTTTGAAACAAGTAACTGATATTGAAAACTTATTGAAAACCTGAACTCAATCATGAAATTTTGAAATCAGCATCACCTACGAGTAGTTCATGACCTAAAGCCTAGTGAACTCATAAATCGTGTTGCATCGTTCACACTATTTCCTTATTAATATAATTGCAAAAATATTTTAACAATATCGAAGTTACGGTCAATCCCGTTTCACATCGCGTATTCCGCCATAAGCTGCTAGACTTTTGCAATAATAATTGCGATAATATAGTAATAATTACACAGAAACCCTCGAACAAGACAAAATTATTTTTCTTTCTCCATCTCCTTCGCTTTCAGTCGCAGGAGTTTGCGGTCGACCTTCTCGTTGTCGTTCCGAGGCAAAGCGTCCATGAAAACCACTTTTCTAGGCCGCTTTAGTTCATTGAGGTTCCGCACGACGTAATTTACAACGTCTTCTTCGCTAATGGGGGGAGAAACGTCCGTTTTATTTACTATGAAAACGTAAATGGAGTCAATGCCTGTGCTGGCATCGAGCGTACCAATGACGCACACCTCTTTCACCCCCTCCATCTCCAGGATCGTGTTCTCCAACTCCGCTGGGGCAGCCTGGAGAAGAAAAGAAAAACATGTAAATTCGAGATTTAAGCCTTAGTTTTGAGTAAAAAGAGAATTTCAGATTTAAAAAAGTTGTAATTTTTCCAAAATTCCTAAATGCAGATCCACTCGAACTCGGTTTTCTCTAAAGTAAAAGTTGCACGTTTCAGAATTAATTCCCCATCTAATTCCATACACTTCACAGTCGTAATAAATTATAATAACTCGAGGTAACGAGATTATATTTGTAGAACGGAAACCGCAACCACAACGGCAACTACATAATGGAGTAGAATTAATTATGCAATTACTTAAAAAAAACTATTCGCACTGGCTCTTGATGATCATTGACATTTGCAACAATAGGAACAACAAATGCGTAGGTATTGGTACGTTTGATAAACGTTTTAATCTACTCTGGTAACGGAAATGAAAACAACTCTTATAGTTCCCATAAAATACATTTCATTAACCGTGCATCAAACTTTATTAACAAGCTTTTTATTTTTTTTATTAAATGTGCATCAACCACTTACACTGCCATATTCAAGGCGGATGATCTCCTTGACGCGGTCGACGATCTGGACGTAGCCGTCCTCGTCCACGAGGGCCACGTCGCCTGAGTTACACCAGCCTTCCTCGTCGATAACGTTTTTAGTCTCCGTCAGGTTATTGCGGTAACCCTGCATTTTCTGTGACAAATAATTCTGTGACCCTGAAGTTACATGCATAAAAAACTTTCACAAACATAACTCGAAAACCTGACGTGCTAGAGAATTTTCAAGGGCATACATGGAATCAGCGTAAAAAAACACATCAGATACAGGTAATTTCATACGAGTAGCAAAAATTTTGTTGCACAGTGTAATCAGTCTTACTAGTAATGCATTGTTATAGACATGAATTATTTAACCCATCGTTTACAGTTCAGAGCATAAGGATTGGAGCAGCTAGTTGCATGTTCGATCCCAGCTTTCTGCGACAGTTCTGGCTAAATCCTCAATGTGGCCGGGTGGTTAAGCAACACAAAATTGAAGCAGTGAGGTGCATGTTCGAGACCCGCAACAAGCTGAGAATATTCTGCGATGTTCCGAATCAATGACTGTTCTAGCGGCCTAATCAATGCTGACAACGTTACATACTACTGTATATACTTATTAGATGCAAGCAATATTTCAATGATCATGTTTCGCGTAAATGTTTAAAGAATTTGCGAGTTGTTTTCGGTGATGGTCACAGAAATGACAATGTCTGAATTTATTTTGCAAAATGATATTTTTTGTCCTCATAATTTCATCAGTTTATGTCATTGCACTCTGAATATATTTCTCAATTTCTCACTTATTATTCAATAATTGTTCTCGAATCGTGAACGCATGAATCAACGGTATTCTTAACCTACTCATTTGGAGAACACAAAGAAGTTGTGTATGCTAAGATTCAGAAACAATAATAATTTTCTTACATCACGTTTATGTGGCCCAACGAATAATTATGGGCTCATAACAATCAAGTTGAATTAATTTCTAGTTGGCGTGATGCAACCCATTCCCGCGCAAGCATAAAAATATGCAGAAATTTGACTTTCTGGAGCCACCGCAAGAAAATACGGACAATTGTACGATAAATTCATTAATTTGCAACATTTAAAATTTTTCATATATATTTAAGTAAATTGCTACCGAAAGGTCTATAAAAACGGTCGTTACGCAAAAAATAAATTGATCTTATTTCAATAAAACCATTCAGATGCAAAGGGAAACTATCTGGCTTCAATTTAATTTTATTTCCACAATTTAATTTGAATTGTTTAAATTGATATTGCTTCTTCCAGCTATTTAAAAAATGTGGAAAGCAAATCAATTTCATCGTCCGAGTCGAAACTTCCACTTAAATGCTCATATTTCAATTGCTGGGCAAGGCAGGTAGTGATGCTATGTGTGAATGGCTGGGCAGATTATTGGTGATTGACAAAGGCATGATAACAGAGGATATATTGGAAGGCTATACATATATATATAGCCTATATATTTATATATATATAGATGGAACCTGCCCGCTTAAGGGCTAACAACTTCACTAATTGAATGAATCATCATGTCTGAGCATGACAAGTATGTTGATACTTACAAAACTTATGAGTATGTTGATATTTACAACAATCTAATGAGTATGTTGATACATACGAAAACCTTCTCACACCCAAAGCTGAACTATGTAAAACACAATTGAGGCAAAACTCACGCTGGGGCTTTTGACGAATAGGATTCCCATTTGGTTGGCGGGCAGTAACTCCGTTGAGTTGAGATCCTTGAGTTTGAGCTCAACGTTGGGGCAGACGCTGCCTGTGAACCCTGGCTTGCCGCCGCCCACAGGGTCTTGTGCTATCACCAACATCTCCGACGCGCCGTAACCTGGCCGGTGAATAATCATATCTAACTACTTTTATATTTAAATTATTTAAATATTTGGTCAGAATGAATTAGTCGCTGCGAGTGGTATCGTAGTTTTTGGTCTTGAAACGCCGAACATCCGGGACTAGGAGGCCACGGGGAACTGCTGTATGTCGGGAGGCCAGCTGGGACTGCCGTATGCCGTTTAAAGTCGATGAGTAATGTTGAGTTTCAAATATAATTTATTTAATAAGTGAACTTACCTAATAATTGAAGAATTAGATGAAAATTTTAAGAATTTGTACAACCTGAACTTTCCATGCTCACAGCATGTAAATTTTTTGGCTATTTTGACAAACTATTTCATTTACTGTTCAAATTTTTCGCATAGATAGTATACTAAGGAACACTTTATATTAACAGAGGCAGAACAAACAGGAACTAAATAAAATTTTGACTGCATTATGCAGGAAAAATATTTTTTGGAAACTCCGTAACATTTAATCGGAACTAAAATCCATGGACAGAAAAACTTTTACATACATTTCCCGTCCCAACGAACCTTTCTGGACGAAGACTCCAGGCATGGTGCTGGCCACAGCGGTGGCGTGGGCCTTCGGAATAGGGGCGCCACTCACAAGCACGTGCCGGAAATGCTTGAGCAAATCCTGGCGCTCAATGCCCAGGCGCAGCACCGTCGGGAAATTCAGGGGCACGATCGCGATTGTGTTTATCTAAAAATATTGGAAAATAATATGTTATTAAACTCGAATATATTATAAGTATTCATTTATAATTACTATATTAATATATATAATTAATAAAAATATCGATTATTAATATATTTACGACCAATGGCGCAAACTTTACTCCAGCAAGTAATATAATCACTCAGTAGTCACTCACGGCTCGCATATTGTATTTCACAAACTCTGGATTGTCTATTTGGACATTTCGATTCTGGATTCTGACAATTGGGTCAATATGACCCACATTTCTTTCGATCTTACCCTAAACTCTTCAACGTCTCTCAGGAAAGTGTTATCGTCCAAAGTTTTGATGATGAGACACATCCCTGTGGCGATCCCGGGCATGAAGGCACAGATCAGTCCGAACCCTAACCCGATGTCCCTGATGAGCAGAGAGCGCGTCTGGTTGCTTTCTGCGACACAAGGTAAATCGTCATGCTTTTATTAAATTATTTTTTTTATTTCTAGGATAAGGCATCCAATGAATCGTTCAACTATGCTGTCGAAGTAGTCACCCATATGAATCGCTTAACTTTACCATGTACATGAAGTCTTCCCATGAACGTATTAATTGTGCGGTGAAAGTTCGGTCATTCCGTATAAATTGTTTGAATATTTGTTTACTTTGATGAATTGAAGTCATCAAACCTAATTTAGATAATTATTAAAGGAAATTTCTGTATGTGGTAAAAGTTTTTCATTTCCATGTCAAACTAAGGTACTCCGCATTTGCAGTGTGAGCGAGTTCGAAACATGGTTCGTTCAAACACCAAGTTTCTACCATTAATGAGAAATAGTTCGAGGCATCGTTTGGGTCCTTGTTTTCTTTGACGCAAGAAGTCACTGCATGCATTAGTAGAGTGTTGCCAACGACCTTTATGCAAAATTCGTTTGCTTCTGCAAGATGGTCGAACTAAATATTTGTTACTTAGTATTAGAGCGAGTGCAAAATGGTGGTTGAAAGTCGTCTGATATGTTGAATGATGACTGAAATACTTTTTTCTTCTATTCCCCTAATTAAATCATTTATACGACTTATAAGATACAATTCAATGAAATTAACACACATTACTGACTGGCAGACTGGGGGGTCCAGAAACTTAGGTAAATTTATTGTCATTCGAACAGAAGATTTTTTGAATATTTTCAGAACTACGCTTAAGCATTCAAGAATAATTTATCAAAATTACGTACCATCAGTGGTAGGAGGATGCGGCCAGAAGAGGGGGTGTATACTTGCCTGTACCGCCGCGATGATAGAGTTATGGGAATGCTGCACGCTCTTGGGCATCCCGGTGGTGCCGCTAGTGTACAGCAGCAACGCGACCTCATCTCCCTGCAACTGCACGACCCACACATAAGTGTGAGACTATCTAGTTTAAGGCTGCATGGTAGTCGGACTGCGGCGAAGTCTGAGAGCGAAGTATTCGCCACAAAGGTGTGAAATCCTCGTCCTTAGCTCGGTCAGTTTCTACTCATGAGCTTATAGTCTTGTAATATGATATTCGAGCCAGCACCCTTTCTGAGGCAATGGACGGCCCTCATTGAGTTCCCCTTCTCCGTACCACCTGTCCTGGACTGACAGGTGAGATTTACGACCACTGCTGCCCCTCAAACTTTTCACAACACCTAGTCAATAAAGAAGATTTTCACTTCACGCATGAGCATGCTCGTTCAAAACTGTTTTTGGTAGGTAGTATCTACAACAAAGAGGATCATCAAGAAATGCCGAGTATGCCATTTAGTGGAGAATAAAAAAAAACCCGTTGACATCTAGAAAAAAGTTTCAAAGAGGCAGACTTGGTGAACATTAATATTCAAAGTTTCTTGAATTACCTTCATCATAACTCTTTTAAAACAAGGTTTACATATTTTCTTTAGCTGTCCAAAGTTTGTAAATGAATTGCTGGGAAAGCATGGAAAAATTTATAATGACATCTCATTTACGATTGGAGTAAAGTCCAGCCTAAATTTTGAAGAAACTCATAGGGAAGAGCAGAGCCTATTCGAAGGCTCGTGGTTCTCAATCAGAGCATTAATATAAGTGTTCCGGGAAATATAAAGAACATGTCATCCGCATGAAGGATTCTGCAATTCCCATTGTTTTCCCATTTAAGGTAAAATTCAACGGCATTATCGTATTTTTGCTGGATTAGCCGAAAAATACGACTTCAACCGAGCTTGCGAGCAATTCGGAAAAAATATAATGCTTACGTGCGATCATTGCACCATCACGGCAATCTCGCACGGCATCAATCTAGTTATTGAAGAATGTGTATTAACAAATCATTTATTCCATAGAATTTTTAAATTTTGAATTAGGATTTTCCTATGCTCATTATGTAATTTTAAACGCAAAAATAACAAGTTTTACTTACTTCGAATTTTCTAATACGCTCATCTCACGGCGTTCAAATCAATGAAATTTTGCTTGTGAATCAAAATCTGTCATTAAAACCATAACATTTTCTAATCATGAAACTGTCGCATAAATCTCAATTAAGTTTTCTGATTTTTATCTTAAAATCTAGCAACTGCATGCATGCTATACGCAATAACCTAAAAAACTATAAACATGTAAAAATCTAAAATCATTTCACTCATTGGCAAGAACTTATTTATGGGCACATGATGTATTAAGGCGCATCGTCTAAGAAACAAATCTAGAAATAAGCTTGATCTTCAATATTGAAATCACTATATTGAATAATATTATTTATTACACTGTAAGAGGTCGTAATAAGACATTTTCATTTTAGTTTTAAATAACCACGATGTGACCTCGCGTGTGAATATTTTTGTATTTTCACTGTGCCGCGATCCACCGCAGGAGTACGAGGTTACATTAGTTCTGTCGATGTTTATGATATGATTGTACGTGTAATTTTAATCCGGTGACCCCACCAGCATTCTACGCACCTCAGCAGGTTCCATAGGCTTAATCGTCTGGTCGTTGATAATATCTTTGTATATTCCCACAACGTTGAGGTCGCTCCCTACGTCCCCAAGTTCCCCGCTGCCGATCAACACGACGGGGATCTTGCGCCCCAGTTTGTCCAGGGCCTCCTGAAGGCGGAGGAAGAACTTCGGTGTTGTGATCAGAAGGGCGGCGCCCGTCTCCTCGATCTGCGCACTCAGCTCCCCTTTGTGGGGGAAAGTTTGATTAAATAAATAATTAAATTAATTAAAAAATGAATTAAATGTAGAGAATTAATTTATTATTTCTTACAGGTCTACAAATTTTGATCGATGTCAGGAAGAACAATTAGGTAGGCATTTTCGGGTGGTTGGCAAAGGAAAAATAAAATCAAACGGCAGTAATATAGTGATGGATAAAAACTAATTTCTTTTATCCCAGTGAGATAAATCGTAAACGTAAGCGTAAATCTCACTGGGACCGAAGAAAATTTTTGAGTGCCGCATACTAGAAAGAAACTGTAACATTATGCAGTCATGGTCGTAATTTTGAACATTCCGCTAGTCAAAAAGTCTCACTGGGATCAAATAAATGATTGAGTGTCGCGTATTAAAAATATACTGAAATCACCTAGTCATGCTCGCAATTTTTTAATCCTTTCGCTAACAAAAAAGTCTCTCACTGGGACCAAAGGAAATGTTGAGTGACGTGTACACGACCCCCGCGGCCATGGTCCCCAGCTGCACCACCGCCACGTCCACGCAGCTGGGGGCGAGCTTCCCCACCACGAAGGATTGGCGACAGGGAGGATTGGCGGTGGAAGGATTGGCGGCGGAAGGATTGGCGGCGGAAGGATTGGACTCCCCCATGAAGGAGGTCAGCCAAGCTCCCCATCTTCCCACTGCCTGCTGCAGCTCCCAGTACGTTAGGGATTGGCGGGTGTACCCACACTCCTGCCACGAGACGGGATTTTTTGTGCGATCAATTAAAATTAGGAAATAAGTCGAACAATTTTCGTGTTTTATTTAATTTTTGCATAAATAATAATAATTTTGTGCAATTGATTTACTTACTTGTATGAATGACTCCAAAAATTTTTAATGGCAAATTGTGAACCCTACCAAAATTCGGGGACCGCCCAGGCTTCGGCAGAATAGTCTCTACACTCGGCTTAGAGTTATTCTGGGTCTGCATGGCGGACTGATCGTATAATCAGTTTTTGGTCAGAATCTATTTTCCGACTTTAGAAGTCGCCTGAGTATGGAAAGAGTTGACCGAGCCGAGTCATACCGAACTAGCCAGCTGCCCAGAGGCTGCTCTTCAAACCCTGAGCCGAAGCGGACACAGAGAAGCTTATTTACGAGCTACCCGAGTCCTAGGCGGCATCCATTTCAGAGTCGGGCACGCATAAAAATTTTGTTATGTTTTTAAGGCTTATTGAAAAATATAGTTTTTCCTGGTCGTGGCTAATCGAAACTTCAGAGTGAGAATGAAAATGTGACTGCAAAAAAACTGTCAAAAAAATTTGACATTGAAAATTTTTTCGAAAATTAAAAAGTAACTGGCATGGAAGTTGACAGGCATTTATGGTGCAGCTCAGAATATTTTCTGAGTTTTTTAGTAAATATCAATCACTGAATATAAGCATCCCATCGAACTTAATATCCTCATCTTAATTTTACTTGGCAAATAGATAAATAACTAAACCTTAAGCAAGCACACGAAAAAGTACCTACCAATGCATGTAAATGGTTCCATTTATGCGCGTCTTTGAAGAGAAAACTCACGAGGTTGCCTTTCACTAGAGGCGTTTCAACGCCTTTCCACATTTTCGACATACTTTCAAATTATTCGGTTTTTAACTAATTTAATTTTTAAAAAATCCTGTGGACAATTTAATGAAACTGACACTTGCACAATGGAAAACACAGACAAAGATGAAATGCATTAAAATTCTTCTATAACATATTGATGATGTGATCAGCGGAAATCTTTAAATAACTTACTAGGCATTCTCTTCGGAAGTTACGATGGTCCTTGATATTTTTTATCGAACATTTCTATGTGTAGATGTTATAATAAAAATTATAAAGAATAAACCAATTAATTTCCTCATTAGGTTTGCAGCCGATGAACATTAGTTTTACTAGTTTAATGCAATAGGCGCTGCGGTCACGGCACGGACTGAGGAACAGATTTTTCAAATCGTGCATATGGAATCAATTTCACATATTGTAATACATTTCACACAATTATTTACATAAGAACATTAACCGATTTTATAATTGTTTTCGCTCGCACAAACTTCAGGAATTTTCTCAAACGAAATTAATATTATACATATCAACGATGCTTTCAATTAAAAACGTTTAGACACTCAAATTTATATGTATAGCGACGTCAGCTCCAAATTAGTTATAGCCGGTTGGCTTGTGTCGTGGCGAATTGTCATCGAGCAAACGATACAACAAAATACATGCATTCAATTTAACGTGTAAAATTCTCTTAAACTCTCTGGTTATACACAAGGTATAAATTGTTTAGTTTTTAAATTAAGAGTCTCGATGAGATTTTCATTAATATTGATCACTCGTTAAGTTACCCATCAAAAACCAAGCAATGGTAATAGCTTAAACATAACTGCAGGAGGAAGGATATACTACATTCCTTCCCTCTCTAGCTGCAGATGCACACTGATACTCGCTTATAAGACCGCACCTACAGGACACTTCGTACTATGTGCACATTTGCACTAAATAAATATTTAATTAATGAATGATGAAAATAGCATTTCTAATTAACACTTTTCGGATCTTTTTAAGAATAAGCACCCGAAACGCTACTAGGGCGCGTATGCTTAATAAGGTTAATTGAGTGAACAATACAAAAAGATTAGGTCTATTCAAAAAATTTTGATGAATTACAATTCAATGTAAAACAAGGTTCATAACAAGGTCATCCTGGGGTGCTTATTCTTAACAAGATCGCACTTTTCTTGTATATTATCATTGGAATTTTCCCATTTGATCACAATAATGCATTGTCTTTCAAGAAGAGAATTTAATTTCGTTCTAAATTTTCATTTTACTGAGAATATTCACGAAAACATTACGGAACAGAAAAAAGTTAATATAAAATTTTTGAATAAGTTTCTAACTAACCATGAACACGATATAAAACTAACAACAAATATGTATGTCGGAAATTTCTTATGACGTTTTTAATTTCTGAAGACGTCAGGAAAATTTTTGATGAATCTTTGATGTTTTTTGACTAATAACAAAGCCAATAGGTGATGACAGAAACTAAATTCTCCAGCCTCGACCGTAACTGAAGTTCTTAGCATTAACCGAACACGCAACTTTAAGCATTGACCTAAAAAACGATTGGGCAATCCGAGGCGCTACATGCCCTACACAACGACCGATTCACACCGTTCTGGTAGTATCCGCTTCTCATGTTTGCATCTAATTCAGACCTCGACTTTCTTAATTCAGAGCTTGACTGCAGCCACCTATACTCGCCACCCTCTCGATTTATTGGTGTTTTATTGTTGATTTTAGGCAGATCTGGCCACCCACCGTTACACCATCAGTAAAATACCATCGCCACCTATAACCTTCGATGCACCACGTTTAGTTTTTATATGGTGTTTAGGTACACCGAGTGTAATGCGACCGTCAGCTAGGGATCTTATAATGTGCTGTGCGTTTTTAACTAAACTAACATAGTGACAATGCAAGCAAGAATTAGTACAGCCATATGTAAGAGGAATAAATGTTGGGACCATATAACGTTACCAGCGTGACGTACTACCGTTACATAAATGCAGTCAAACACAACGCAATGCATCATCTGAAAATCCGCCCTAGCTTCAACGATAGGAATAGTGATAGATATAAGGAACGAAAGGAACAGTAAAAGATATATAGCAGTCATGGAGGGTATTTTGCTTGAATGTACAGTGATCATGATATCTGTCTCAGCTGATAAAGAATGATCCTGCACTGCGCAAGTTCATGCGCAGTTACTACACACAGAAAAATAGAAAGACTTTGTCCGAATAGCGATGTACTTCTTACCTTTCAGTAGATCATCCAGACCCAGTTTTACCCGACAGAAAGACATCAGTGCAACGTACAGAAAGTGTTACGATTTAGACGACTTTACCGTTTATTTTTCTGAGGGTATCCGTTTGGCAGCAGCTTGGCTACTGCGCCACTTTCACTTCATGAAGCAGGGTGAGAAGGAAAGACTTCCATTAAATGATCCTTGTTTTATTGATTGTGAATAATAATTGCCATAGAGTACCTTCATTTTTTCGACGGCCATTGAAAACTCGGCGAAAATTTTGTATTTGGCTTTGGGAATGTGAGGGTTGGGCTTTTCCCTATCACTTGCATCGTGAGAAAACTGCTGGCAATGCGATAAGCTTTGGGTCATAAAGGGTCATTATGCAATCAAAAACTTTTTTCACTTTGTGAATAATTGTATTTAAAATATGGTAGTGAGGCGATAGTTACCAATCAGGGTAATGTAAATTGATTTAAAACTGACTAATTTTAATGCGTACGCAAATTTCAAAGCGTACTTGAATAGATTACAACCTCGTGCAACTCTACAACACCGAGCTGACCTGTGCACTCAATGACCTCATTCCTGCACGCACAGTTCAGGTACCCCAACGAGTCTCCGACCCATGATTCGATGATGAATGTCGGGTCTCGCAGCGATTGGTTCGGCTGCTCAAGCGGGCTTGTTGGTGGCCCCTGAAGAGAATTAATATCTCATTATAGAAAAGACTTGTCTACCAGGTGAATAGACGCGTCAATCCTGCTGCAGCTATACGGTGGCCTCCACTTAGCGAGATTCGCAGCGCAATTATTTCGACCTTCTTCAATCTAAAAAAATATAACTCAGTACTCGCAGCAGTGAGTGACAGAGAGCGCATTTTCTTAGAATCGACAAAAACGTGAAGTCACGGACTGACGGACGGACGGACATGACGAGCACAATAGGGCATTTTTTCCATTAATGAGAAAATGCGCTAAAAAGAGTTATTTTGGCGCCAGAGAGTCAAAGAGCCACGCAGCGACCCTAGAGCGCTGTGTCGTTCGCTGGATAAACTTATACGAAGAGGTCAAGCAGATGCTTCTGGTGACGCAAGCGTGCAGGAACTCTATGCGGTTTTTTAATACGAAATTTCTGCTGTGCGAGCGTCGTCAGCCGATATTCCGTCAGCAAGATTTACGAGGTGCTCGTAATGTTGCTGATATTTGCTGAAGCTCGAGGTTATTGGATGCAGACATGCCACACACAACATGAACATGCATGCGGAGTTGAGGAATGGATGTAGACATGTGACGCACAACATGAACATGCATGCGGCATTGTGGAATGGATGCAGACAT